TAGACATAAATAGAAATATATAGACATATATATATATGTATATATATATACAGACACAGACATAGACACAGACACAAGATATATATATTTATACAGACACAGACACAGACACAGACACAGACACACATATATATATATATATACCTCGACAGGCCACGAGTAGATCCAGCTGACTGGCACTACCTCCTCGTCGACCATTTCTCCGTCTTGCGCTGTGGCAGCGGCAGCAGCAGTGGCAGCGGCAGCATTGGCAGCGGTAGCAGCAGTGGCGGTGGTCTGCTCACCAATGCCACTGCTTGCGGTGCCCTCAACCTTGTCAGTACTGAAATGTTGGAGTGCAAGTGTGTTGTTTCATTGAGAATGGTATATACCTCCAGGTACAGAGAAGTCATAGTGTGTCATTGAAGCGTATGTGGACGCGATAGTATCCAAGACGTCTGGCAGCAGTAGACTTACTCCTAGCCAAGCACGCCCCGAGTCACAACAACACTCGGCGAGGGTTGAAAGCCACTTTGCACGATGTATAGCGAATGAAGCATATACACCGAGGGGGCGTGTGTGGTGGCAGATGTACTTTATTTATATGTTGCATATCATAGAGGTCCAACGCAACACCCAGGTATAGGAGTTAATGGGCAGATCATTTGGTGGTATTGCCTTCTTAGATCGACTGTCACTTGGCTCTAACTTCATCTGCTGTCCAGGGCTATGGCGTTCAGGGGGTTTGCACCTCAAAATACTCAAACACATCCCAGAGATCACACAACGCCACACCAAAGCAGGGGATCCATTGAATAGTGAGGACAACTCACAGGAGATACAATCTGTAGTGCCCACAACCCTGTCGCTCTATCATTGCCATCACCCTACGTCTGATGGCGACATCTTGGACACATATATACACTCCCACTCTAACACACACAAGACACACCTCAGGAGTCAAACAAAGGTTGTCGATCCGAACACACACGCGAGTATATCCTTGTACGTACCTGGTAGAAGTAGGCTCAGGTACACTCCCAGTCTCATGGTCACCCCCCTCCTGAGGCGGTTGCTCCACCGATTCGCTCGCGCTGGCGGTGGGTGTGGTGCTTGGCTGCGGGGACACACTCGGCTCAGTTTTCGCCGAGGACGTCGCATCGGCCGATGTCGATGAGTTGCTGTATGGTAGGAACGAGAACGTAATTTAGATGCACGAGTGCGTGTATTAATACGGCGGGCACCGTACACTTACATGACAGGCGCTGTATGGTAGGAACAGGAACATACTTTCGATGCAGGAGTGTGCGTATTAATACGATGGGCACCGTAAATTTTCATGACAAGTGGTGTATGGTAGGAACAGGAACGTATTTTAGATGAAGTGTGTGTATTAATAGGATGGGCCCCTTACACATACATATGACAGGTGTACTGTGTACTGAACAGTGTGTTGCGGCGCTATACACTCGGAATCAGAGCCACAACGGGCGCCTGCAGCGACTAACTACCGTTATCGCCAATGGAAACGTACAACACTAACACTCGCAAAGGCCCCAGTTGCAGTTATCTGCATGGCCCTTGATGGAGTCATACACGAGCAACTGAGCAAGTAGGCTGGCGTGTTGTGTGGTAATAACGTTTGGTAATAACGTCAATTCGATTTGCAGGGCGTAGCTGAGGGGGTGATACACAAAAGGCCTCCCTCCCATACGCGCAAGCGTCTTCGTACGATGATCCTACCCCCACAAGCACATGCACACAAGGACACACCTGGACAAACTAGCTGAAGTGGATGCGACAACAGCCACGGTGCTGCCACTGAGTGTGGGCGACGGTGTGGGTTTCGGGTTTACCGGCGGGTCAATATCATACAATATCTCATCGGGGACAGGGTTGGGCTGGACCTCGGGCACGGCATCAGGGCGGCACAACTCTGCGTGCACACACGGGATCTCTGAGCCAAAGAGATTCAGCTGCCAGCGCACTAATCGACCCTCTTCCTATGTATATAAGGAAAACTATTACGCTGGGATTCGCAATTGAGAAGTGGATGGTGCTATGCGGCTGGACTGAGGATTGCGTACGTACAAAATAGTATGGAGACGCGGGATTGAAAGAACTGACCATGTTATAGTACGAAGGAACAGAGCCACGCCCGAGACATGGATCGCGCTGTACCGAATTACGGTGACGCGCACAGGCCGTACTATAGGCTCTAACATACACAGGGGTGTATGCATGCAGAACCAGGTAGACTATACAGGCCGGTAGAAACGATGAAGCGTACGTACTGCTAAGCATCTGCATACAATGCGCTCTAGCCTACTAACCTACACTCGCGAGGAAAATCATCCCTCGGTCTACCTACACTCCTATTGTGCGTTAGCGTACTAGCCTAACGAACTTACCCTTCCATCTGAGCCGTCCTTGATACGTAACGCCCACTCGCCTATGGGAGACTCGCCCCAGTTGAACAGTGTCATAAATGTCCAGTCAGTAAACCCGTCTCTGCTCCTGTCGTACGTCCGGGGTGTCAACAGCTCCGATTCGGTGCCTAATAAGATAGAGAGCGTGTGGATGTGTCACCTATAACAGCATTCGATAAACCGTTCAATTACTCGCAGGAAGAATGGTGTTCTCACTCACAGGCTCGCAATATATTTTTGTTTTCAAGATAACAACTGCACTTTCTCGTATGTACACATGAGGCATCGAGCATAGAGACATCATACTGAAGCACGCGGAGGTGTGTGCATACCCGAAGGCGAGACCAGCCAGATAGCCAACTTTCCCCTGTGTTGGTGTGTGATAGTCACGTTGACGGTCGTATGTTCCAGATACTTAACCTTCTCCGCATCGCTGACTATAATGATGGATACCAACTCACTCATGGACTCAGGCGATGTGATGGGCTTGTTCACCTCACGCACAGCACTGCTGTATGTCTCTTGCTGGCCCACGGAGGTCCAGTTGCGACTCATATCTGTACCACACACCCACGTGTATAAGAGAATTAGAACAAGTGCTCTCCGGGAGATACAATCTGGGGCACAAAAAGCTCATAAGGCAATAGGGTACAGCACTACCTTCATAAGAAAGCGAAAGTAGATTGTGTCTTAGTTAGTACAACACACCAATCATCCTCGTAGTATCGATGACACCGAAGCCCCACTGGTGACTAAACGGTTTGCCCGCCCCATTGATCCTCCACGATGTGCTCATATCCCTGAATAGGTAAACAACATGTCCGCTAAGATATTCGCATACCATATACACGAGGGTACCATACAGCATTTGAACACAGAGATAGGCTAATTGCGAACTGATAAGCTGCTGAATGGGTTATATATCTGCATAATTGATTACTAAGTGGTGTGGTGACTTTAGCATAGAGCACAGTATGTTATCATACGATATTCTACGAGCGGTCAGTAGCACAGACTCTATTATATATGTATATATACATATATATATATATATATA